TGATAGCTCGTGATTGATTAGCTTGCAAATGAGTCCCGCCTATCAACAATGGGTCCTGCCTGACCAAAATTATAATAAATAATTATACTCACTAATGCCTTATTCTACATTCTAAACACCTTCCCTAATCCCTTTAATTAAAATAATAATAATCAAATAAATTTGTGTTACACTAACGTATCCTTTAAATATAATAGTTTCAGAATTCAGGTATACTATATAAGCTTATAATACATTTAGTTATGATTAAAATAACATATTGATCAGCTATCAATACATTGGTTAGGTTATAATCAATTTGTTTTTTTACAAATTGACAAACAATACAATTAATGAACACCCACATGAGAAAAATTTTAATAGTTTTAAACTGGGTTATAATGGATCAAATCAATTAAACTGGTATTAATTCATAGGTTCGAATCCCCCTGACTATTAAGATTTAATCGGGTGGTCATGGTTAGGGTGTAATTCTAGTTGAGCCGCTTGCGAGCTGCTCGGGCTCTGCTCAAGTCAAGCTCCTGTAGCTCGTGTGTCTAGTGGAGCTGAGTTCGAGATTCTCCATACTCGGCTTGAGCAACTTGCAAGCTTACTTGAGCTTGACATTGAGGGGAGCTATAAAATTTTTGCAAATTTTGGGGAGGTCTTTATTACTTACCATTTTGTTTTCTAAATTATATAAAGTGACAAAGTCATCCTCTTCAAATACTAACCTAGTTCTTCGTCTCTCAGCCAACACACTCCTCTCCATCGACTCACTCGTTGCACTTGCCTCCATCTCTGACCAAAATCCTAACCTAGTTCTTCTTCTCTCCGTTGACTCACTCCTCTCCTCCTTAGTCTTATGGTGGTGGAGTCTCAATTGAATGGAAGGCTCTGAATTTCAGTTCAAGTCCATATGTGTAAGATGTGTTGTTAATTCTAGGTTGTGATGTGAATTGCATGGATTTCCTTTCCTAATGTGGTGATAATGTTTTCCTTATTTTTTGATGATTGCTTTGTTCTAAGGTTTGTTGGTTTGGCTCTTTTTGTGTGATAGTCTATTTAGATGGTTGTTCAAGTTATTCTTTCAGTCTATACAAGTGTAGTACTCTATCTTGAGTCAGGTGATTCAGTTTGAGCTCGAGTTCAAACTCGATTGCTGATTACCACTCATCGAGCTTGAGCTTCATTTTGACCAAGTTGTAATTGAGCTGAGCCCGAGCTCAAAGTTGAAGCTCGATGAGTCAAGCTCCAACTATTGTAGCTGAGCCTAACCAAGCTTCAATACTAGTTCAGTTTGGCTGATTACACCCCTAATCATGTGGGGGATGCTGTGCTAACACCACAGAGATTAGTCGAGGTATATAAGGTCTGGACATCTGTTTAAAAAAAAAAAAAAAATTAAATACTTGCGGTATCATAATTAGACTACAATATTTTTGTCATTAGGATATATATATGACTACAATAGTTTGAATTAATTAATGTAGCAAAATTCATATATTAAAATGATAAATTATAGTATCTAATTATTAGAACAGATTAATAGAAGCTAGAGATTAACCCGTTTTACAGATAGACCTTGACCTAGCTAGCCATATTATTGGAGAAATTAAAAAAAAAAAAAATTAAGGTATGTATCACCTAAGGTAGTTTTATATAACGGGTTTATTTTTCCTCTTGTGAGTTTATTTAAATAATAATAATTATTTACAAAGATTTCCATACAAAGTGAGATGACAAAAATAAATGGATAAATGAAACAAAAGTAAACTCATTTTATTATTATCAATTATTTTAGTCACATTACTTTGTATAGAGATCTTGTACATTCATTGTAGGTGTAACATTACTTTATTTAAAATAAACTTACCTATTTTTTTTTTTTTTAAAAAATACAAAACTAAACGATTGACCGGAGAAAATGAAATAAATCCTTTCTAAAACAAGCATGTCAATCCTAGAGTTTATTAAACGTTTCTTGTCCGTTCACGGAACGTTTATTTATTAGAAACCATTTTCAGCGGATTAATAACTTCTATAATTAAACTAAAAAGAATGGGATTAGTCTCTGTCTATATTTTTGCTTATTTAGGAATCAACACCATCCGACCTTAGCTCAGTTGGCAGAGCGGAGGACTGTAGTAGAGCAAGTTCAACAGCTAATCCTTAGGTCGCTGGTTCGAATCCGGCAGGTCGGATATTCATTTATTTCAATTTAATATATAAATTAAATTATTAAGTTGACATTTGGCCTTCCAAACAAATAAAAAAAGAATAAAGCTAATTAGTGTTTCTAATTATGAATAATCAAAACTCTAAGGATTGATAGCGATTAAGAAAGTTTGCTCTATTTTCTGAGTTCCTGAGTTTAAACCTTAGAGCTACCTATTTTTAATAATATTTGAACTTATACTGATTTTTTTTTGGTTTGTAGAGTGTTCAATTGATTTTAAGATTAGTTGAGGTATGCGTAAGCTGACTCAAAAACCCCGATTATCAAAATTTTTTTTTATAAATAATCAATCTAAAAAAAAAAAAAAGAAATAGCATACATAATTAGGGGAATCCAACACAAAAACTAATAGAATCCAACTCAAAAATAGTAATGTCACATCATAATTATAAATTTATTAAAGATGGTAAGAATTTAGGAAGCTTGATTTATAAATTAAAAATTGAAAGGCGAATCCATGGCATCCGTGTACTTGAATCATCATCCACTCCCAGGTGAGGGGGACAAAATTATAATAATATTTTAAGAGAATAAATAAATTAATAAATTAATTAGGGTTCTTCTATGCCTTATCTCTTTCTCAAAAGGCCTTTAAAGCAAGAAAGAAAGAAAGTGGGCATTACCACCTTAAGCATAAAGCTCTTATACTTTAATTAACATACATTAATTTTATAAACACGTTTGTTTTGTTTCAACAAATTAAGTTCGATGTTTTCCCATCGAATCTTTGAATAATCTTAAATAATAGAAAAAATGGGTCCAAAAATCTAGGCCCATTGAGTTTACAAGCACCCAACCCAATGGCCCAATCATTTATTTATATATAATTTTTTTGGACATTCTTTCAACAGTCTTTTTAGGCATGCCCTTTCTATTCTTCTAAGGTCACACCTAATTAAAATGAATCAATCTAACACATGATAACTTAATCATAGTCCCGTAGTGGGCCCACATATGGGACTTACACGAACCTTAATCACTTAAACCAGACTAATAACGTTTAAAAATATCCATGATTAGTCTTGTAATATCTACGATAAATCCATATATGAGAATTACATCAGACTTGAACCACAAACTTGTAATAAGATAATTAACATCAAGATGTGAGCTCGATATAGATTACTAACGTTAGTCGTTTTAAAAATCCTTTTAACTTGTTCTCGAGCCCGTGTTTGAAGATACCGTACACATAGTTTTAACTATTCAATTAACTTATGATTACATGCCAAAACAATCACTTAAAAGGTAAGATAACTCTTTACTTTTCAAGAGAAAAGAAAGAAACCGTTACTGTTTAATCACTTGAACTCTAATGGCCTTTATGATTTAACCTTTGCTATGAGCCTGCCACCAATAGCATTCTGAATCCAAAGTCTAAAGTAAAAAACAAAACAAAAAGCTCATTTCAGTCTTGAATTATTTGTGAAATGATGGATATCTGCAGCACTAGACCAACTGAAAGCCGATTAAGGAAAAGCAGAGCAGAGTGTTTCTGGGTTTAGGTGTCAGTTCTTAATCTGTAAGGAAAAAAAATTTGGCCACTAGGGTCTCTTGTTTTGACACTTGGAAAAGCTTTTAACTACCATTGTCTTTGACTTGATTAAGAAACTGATTTCTTGAAGATAATCTCAACTAGTATCCCTCTAAAGTAGATATTTTTGGAAAAATAGTTTAAAAAATAATTTAATATAAAAGAAATCATCCTTCTTACTTCGTAGAGTGAGGTTAGAGAATTACGATCATCATGTATTGTTTTATCTATCTCAAGGGGTAGATTTATCTTATCCATCTCAAAATATGAACTTGAATGCGTTATACTCGAACTTAGATATCATCCTTCTAAATGAGTCAAGAGTATTGATTAAACAAATAGTTTAGATAAAGTTGAGAATACAACGGTGATATATATATGATACCATAGACAGTAATGTCACTAAAGGTGGTGCGGACGATGTGGTACCCTTGTTGTATTCTAGATTTTTTCACTAGTCAATCAGTTAGTTGTATTGGATTTAAAAAAAAAGGAAAAAAAAAAAAAAAAAAAAAAAAAAACTTTATGAGTCAGGATCATTCGATTGGATTTTTTGTTCTTTAAGAACTGCAAGCTGATATACTTAATCCAGTTGTGTAATCTTCAATGTTTTCACAGTATCTAGGAATAAATTCCGAGCATTAAATGGAAAGTAATCCATCAAAATTTTGTTGTTTGATATGAAAAGCACAAACGAACAGTAATGTAACGGATGATTCTGAATAATAATTTGCCCGGAAAAGTTGAAGGGAGCACCTGTTTGGCAACTTGCGCGATCTCAAATAATCTCTGGGACCCTGAAGTTGAATATCGAATTAATCCCTTGATAACCACCCTTATTAACATTCAGTGGAGTCACTCCTATTAACAATCCAAGTGAATGAATATAAGAACTTTTTAGTAATACACTCAAAAGTTCTAGTTGACCGCTGGACCGTCCATAATAGTTTAGATTGGCTAGTTGCCAATCATTTTTCTTTATAATTACAATAAAAGCAGAAATTGTGGAAAACGCATTTAAATAACTGTAAAAAAAAGTGCTTTGGGAGTGACGAGAAGAAAGCATTTTGGTGCTGGAAAAAACCCTCAACTTGCGTAGTTTCCATTTATAAAGTAGTAAAACGCAGGAATTTGTTTTCGTTTTTCTAGCTGAGAAAAAGAAAAAGGAAAAGGAAAAGGAAAAGAAAATTTGGAATAAAAGAAAAAGAAAAAGCCCTATATTCTTCTATCTATAAAAACCATGCCAACCCATTAACAGGCTCCAAGAAAACAAAACATTTTTAGCAGAAGAGCTAAAGAGAGAAACAAGAAACAGAGCTCAAGGAGCTCCTCTGTTTCTTCTGTTTTCGAAACCCTGTTCTTTTATTCTGTTTCCATGTACATAAATTCACTCTGTACTATGATCTTAGTAGCATCTTTGTCTTCTCTCTTTGGAGAAACTTCTGCTGCTACTATAGCTTTGGTACAAATCCAATTCTCTTTTGAGTAGACGTCGAGAATCTTCGAACTTTATAGCCACAATCGCCTTACAGTTACAGTTGTTTCTCAGTCTTTGTGTTCAGATGGATTCTTTTGAAATCAAAAACATTAAACTTGGGAAAGCAAATGGGGTTGCGAAGAAGCCCCAGTTTCGAAAGATAGCGAGCTTGTTCAGGGTGATCGAGATATGTGTTCTTTTGGTGGTGGTGGCAAGGATTTTCGCTCACCTCCCGCTTGCTGTTAAGGACTTAACGGATGTCCTTGTTAGCACTCGCTTTGTTTTCATAATTGGCAACTTAATAGTGGTCATTCTTTTTGCAAAGTCAGGACAGTTTTCAGCTCAAAATTCTACCAGAAAGAATCCCAGAAAGGATTACTTTGAAGAGTTTTTGGAGAAGGGTGAAAAGATTCAGAACACTCACCGGTATGAGGTGAAGTACAGAGAAAAACAGAGCATTTGTGCAGAGAATGTAGTTAGTGAAGGCACACATACTTCTTTCAAAAGCAATAGTTACAGAAGAAGCCAATCAGAAAAGTTTAAGCGTGTTAATAGTGATAAATCCTGCCGGGAACTGAGGCGAACAGTCACAGAGAAGTGCAGGAAAAGTACTAATTCTGGGGACAAATCGGCCAAAAATTCATACCCAGAAGATAATATGAGCAATGAAGAGTTTCGGCGCACGATCGAAGCTTTCATTGCAAGGCAGCAGAGGTTTCGCATGGAAGAAGAGTACTCTGTGATTACATATAAATAAGCATAAACAAATCTTTTTTCCTTTTTCTTTTTTTTTGGGGGGTGGGGGGGATGGATCTTTTCTGGTTCTTCTTTTCCTGCTACATAGAACTATGTTTGTCTGTACATGGCTATGTCATATATGTAATGGAAAATTTCTAGTTAAACAAATTCTCCCCCTTTTTGTTAATTTATTCACAACTTAATCTCTTGCAAAGGCTGGTTTCTAGGTGGAGTGCTGAGAATCTGATCCGATCTTATATGATGTCAAAAGCAAATAAGCACCCTATTCTAAGAGCATTTCTAAGGAATTTGATAGGCACATATAAGAATTGGATTTTTTGTTTTTTTCGCCATGTTTCAGATTAGAGAAAAATATGAGCATAATAGTGAGGAATATATTCTAAGTTCAATTCCACACAAGAAATATGCTTGCTTTGGACTTTGGAGCTAAATTCTAATTCTGAGCTGTGTGCATGAAATTTCAAACTCAGAAAGCAATTTAATATCTTCCTGGTCTGGTCTGGAGTTAGGCCTTTCCAAATCCAGAACTGACATGATTTTATCTCGAAAAGCATATCAAATTTCAGCCCCAAGTACAAATCAGATTAAGAGAGAGACTGGTGATGGCATAAGTTGTATGAAAAGTACAGAGGATGAGTTGGTATTCACTAAATGGTAGTAGCATCATAACTATGTTTTCACCTCAGATTATAGGCTAGGACATATTCTTTCTCAGATATGACAAAATGGGGATATTTTTCTTCATGGGGTGCCATTAATTTCTGGAATGAAGAGACTAAAGCCTTTCTTTTTTGCAATCCAAACATGCTCCATCAGAGGGACGTGTAAAGTTAGGAAATTTCATTTCATCCATTGGATTTTTACTTGTAATTGTCACATATATATTCCGATTCATGAGCTCCTCAAATGTACAAAGAAGAAGTGGGACAGGCAGAGGTCCTCAAATGTTTTGGATGATAGAAGAATGGAACAACATGATTGAAAACGGTAGAGTCAAAAGTTAGAGATTTCTTGTACTGTTGCTAAAAGATGTTGATGTCTGGAAGAAGAAATAAAAAAATAAAGTGATTACTCTCTTCTGGGTGAGTTGTAAGGGCTAATAACACCAAAACAGTGACAAGCTTTAGCAGAGCCCAAGGGTCCTCTGGTTGTAGGTCGAATATGAACATCAAATGGGGCTGTGGTTACTTCAACTCTTGGCCTCTTCCACGATTACTCTGCCAAGATCAAGAATTCTACACATAATGTGAAGCCAAAAAAATTATGCAGAAACAAACTCCTATAGCTTACATCAAGAATACAAATGGATCAAGAGCATCTATCTTATCAATCTTGATATTTTTCCTTTTCTTGTAAAGATATAGATAATATATGAGTCATGCTTGTAGTTTACAATCTAAAAATTTGACCACTCCATAGGTCAAATGTACATGCAAAGAGTTATCACGGGGTTTGATCAAAGAGAAGCAAGGATTTCCTGTTTTGCAAAGGAGTAGAAAATTTTTTCCCACATAAATAATAGTTTAATGACACTTTTCTGCCCACAGACTTTTAAAATACTACTTTATTATTTAAATTTATATTCTGTTTTTTATTCCGACATTGTTGCGACCCCACATCACCACCATTCTCTTCCTCAATCATCACTCATCAAAACCTCTCAAACCTTACTCTCGTCTACCCCGCCAATCACCGATAATCGAGCGATTAGAGTTTGCACAACATCCCCTCCCGAGTCAAATTCCAATCAATCCCAATCACCGAAATCCAACCTTCCAGCACCAAAAGACTTATCGGCTCCCCTCTTAAAAAACTCGAATAGCTTGGACTAAGTTAACTATCTGTTCGCCACCGAAATATAATTTTGGATAATAAAATAGTATTTTAAAAGTCTGTGGATAAAAAAGTATCATTAAACAATGACAAGCTTTAGCAGAGCCCAAGGGTCCTCTGGTTGGAGGTCGAATATGAAACATCAAATGGGGCTGTGGTTACTTCAACTCTTGGCCTCTTCCACGATTACTCTGCCAAGATCAAGAATTCTACACAGAATGTGAAGCCAAAAAAATAATGCAGAAACAAACTCCTATAGCTTACATCAAGAACCCAAATGGATCAAAAGCATCTATCTTTTCAATCTTTGATATTTTTCCTTTTCTTGTAAAGATATAGATAATATATGAGTCATACTTGTAGTTTACAATCTAAAAATTTGACCACTCCATAGGTCAAATGTACATGCAAAGAGTTATCACGGGGTTTGATCAAAGAGAAGAATCAGGTGAAGGAAAGGATGTGATAAGAGGAGCAAGGATTTCCTGTTTTGCAAAGGAGTAAACAACTTTTTCCCACCTAAATAATAGTTTAATGACACTTTTCTACTCATAGACTTTTACAATACCACTTTATTATCTAAATTTATATTCTGTTTTTTATTCCAGCATTGTTGCGACCCCACACCACCACCATTCTCTTCCCCAATAATAACTCACCAAAATTCCTCAAACCTTACTCTCGTTGACCCTGCCAACCGCCGACAATCGAGCGATTAGGGTTTGTACAACATCCCCTCCCGAGTCAAATTTCAATCAATCCCAATCACCGAAATCTAATCTTCCAATACCAAAAGACTTATCGGCTCCCCTCTTCAAAAACTCCAACAGTTTAGACTGAGTTAACTATCTGTTCGCCACCGGAATATAATTTTGGATAATAAAATAGCATTTTAAAAGTATGTGGAAGGAAAAGTGACATTAAACCATTATTTGGGTGAAAAAAAAGTCGTTAACTCTTTGTAAAGCCTTGAAACTTTTAGAATGGATTAGGACATTTGCCATGTGACTTCAATCTTCACGTAAACTCTTAAATGAAAGTTGCCTCCAAGTCATTTTACACATTAATATTCTCTGACATGAGACTTTTGAAGTGGCATAAATTGTTATTATTAAATCAAATTGGAATATAGGTAACACGATATAATAAACTCCCTTGGGCCATCCTGCTGCAGCAGTCAGCAAAATATTATTCAGATTTGCCCAATATTTTCGACTTATTTATAAAATATTACGGCATGGTTCTGTGTATTTTGGAGGGAATATAATTACTAGGCAGGAAAATAAGTTGGAATAAAAATGGAGAAAAAATCTGATATTCTTCAATCTATAAATAAGCTTTACCAAAGGGTCACAAGAACTCATAAAAAAGCCAAGAGGGAAAGCAAAAACAGAGTCCATTTAGTTCACTCTGTTTCGTCTGTTTTTCCCACCTCTGTTTTTTCATTCTGTTTTCATGATCATGAAGACCAAAATATTTTCACTCCCTACTATGATTATAGTAGCATCTCTATCTTTTCTCTTCACACAAACTGCTGCTACCATCTCTTTCGTCCAAAACCAATTCTTCGCCTGAGTGAAGTCGAAAATTCTCTAGCTCTATAACCGTATCAAATGGATTCTTTTGAAATTAATAATGTTAAAGTTGAGAAGGCAAATGCAATCCTGAAGCATCTCCATCTTCGGAAGCTGGCAAACTTGTTAAGGATAATTGAGATATGTGTTCTTCTGGTCATGGTCTCACGATTTTCCACTCAACTCCCACTTGCTGTCAAGAATTCTGGTAAATATTTCAAGGACTTAACAGTTGTCCTTGTTAGCCCGCACTTTGTTTTCATAATCGGAAACGCAATAGTTGTCATTCTTTTTGTACAATCAGGGCAGTTTCCGGCTCATGATTCTAGCAGAAAGAATACTGGAAGTGATTACTATGAAGAGTTTGTGGAGAAGAGCAAAAAGACTGAAAACACTCGTCGGTGTGAGGTTGTGTACAGAGAAAAACAGAGCAAACGTCAAGAGAGTGTAGTCAGTGTGGGCACACATACATCTTGCAAAACCAAGATTTGCAGAAGAAGTCAATCAGAAAAATTCAAGTCTCTGAACGGCGATAAATCCTGCCGGGAACTGAGGAGATTGGGTACGGAAAAGTACAAGAAAAGTACTAATTCTGACGAGAAAGTGGTGAAAAATTCATCCCCTGTAGATGACATGAGCAATGAAGAGTTTCAACAGATGATCGAGGCTTTCATTGCAAGGCAGCATAAGTTTCGAATAACAGAAGAACACTCTGTGATTTAATGGTTACTCAAATCAGTAACATAAAACTCTCTCTGTAAATTGCTATGTCACATAAGCAATGAAAAATAATGTCATCTGTATACATCAAGACCAGTTTCCAGGCTGAGAAACGAGAATCTAAATTGATGTCAAAAGCCAATGAGTAATGGAGTCAGTGAAGGCATTTCTTGAAGACTGGATAGGCAAATAAAAGAATATCACTTTTTGCCATGTTCTAGATTAGAGAAAATTATGAACATAATGTTTAGGAATGTATTCTAAGTTCTGTTCCTGTTAAAAAGAAAATGCATTGGTGCTTGGCTCTAAATTCTAATCCTGTACAGCTAGGTGCTTCGAATTTGGAAAATGCATACAAAAAAGGATAATGGTAAATTAAAAAGCTGTTTAACACTTAATTGGTGAAGCCTTCTATGTCAAGAACTATATATATATATTTTTTTTTTGTTTTCGGTAACCCGGGTGTTTGGGTCAGTTTGCACATACCTTTACTAATCTCCGGACCCCAAGAGCTAATCTATTAGCTATCTAAGAAAAACATACTAATCTTTCCTTAGCCCCAGATACAAATTTGATTCAGAAAGGCACTGGTGGTGGCATAAGTTCAATGGTCAAATACTGGATGAGTCGCTATTCTGTTATAGACTTTATGCTTTTTCACATAAAGTAGCGGAAATATATCTTGAGCATAAGCGCCTATTCTGATATTCTTTTTTGATAAGAACAAAACGTGCAGGAAAGCACAAAAATAAGAAGCCTTCAAGAGCAAGCAGATTGTACTCTTAATATTCATTTTCAGATGTGACAACAGAGGAAGTGCAACCATCAAATTCAATTCCCCAAACCCCAGGGATTGGCCTTGTGATCAAGGAAGTTTGCTCTCTTCCTTGAGTTCCTAGATTCAATCCTTGGGACCACCTACCATAATAACATTGTGGTTTACCAAGGTTTGTAGCGTATTCAATGAAACTCAAAGATTAGTTTAGGTGCGCACAAACTAATCCATGACCTCAGACATAAGTTTAGATGCACAGAAGTTGGCGTGTATACTCTGGTTACCAAAAAAAAAGAAGAAGAAATTCAATCCCTCACCAAATGCGCTTGAAAATGACCATTATAAGCTTAATAGTAGGGGTGGATGCTACTCATCATGGCCTACCCTCAAATTTTTTTAAAGAATATTAATATGTATAATTTCTGGATTTTGGCATACCCAAACAGAAATATTAATATACAATTAGTTTTTATTTCAACCTACCATAACAGAAATTTCTGGATCTGTCCCTGCTTAATAGTAAGCACATTAATGTAAATGAGGAACAGACATAAATCAATTGGACGATAGAAGAGTTGGGCACTTATAAGGGTTTTTTTCAATCAAAACTTGATTTCTCTATCCATCTTAAGTAAAACCAAAATGCATTTTCCTGAGATTTTGGGCTCCATTACTCTTAAAGTGAGACAGGTTTTCTGTGTCAAAGCAGAAATAAAGTAATTAGAGCAAAGGAATGCAGTCCCCCGCTATGAGTTGCAAGGCTGAGTAACACCGAAAGGTATGAATCTGAGAGAAGGTGTTGGGTTGGGTTTCCCTGGATGACCCATTTTAGTTGAGCCCATATTAAGCCATTTAGCCCATAAGGACATAGGCTTTTGTATATTTATATATATATTCCATAAATATATTGAACGAAAATATATATTCACAGACAACAATGTATTAAACTATTTAGGAAATTGACCAAATTTCAATACATAAGATTTAAAATATATATATATTATTAATTACTCATTTAAATGTGTAGTAAATCAAAAATTTCCACAAAATGCCAAGAAATGCTACCTATCAAAAATTAATTGAGTGAAATCTAATTATCATCTAAGTGAGAGTAAGCCTGGCAAAAACCTGAGTCCAGTACACCCAAGTGGGGTTTAGATTCGGATGACAGTTTCTTAGGTAGAGACAGCAAAGGTCCCCGACTTCGAGGAATATCCTACGAGCTAAGGATTTCATGCGTTTACGAGGATGGGACGGGCACGAGAACAGCTTAATTCCGGCTCGGGGTAGCTGATCCCCCGCACCAGATATTGAATATATTATTTTTATTAGATCTCCCTTATAAATTATACCTTTGAGTGGAATAATAAAAGAATTTAATTATAGAGTGAATAATGAAAAACACATTATAATAAAGATTATTTTTGTTATTCACCAAACCTGCATTTACTCTAAAGATTAATTTTTTATTTAAAAAGATAAAATAAAAATAAAGTGATAAATAAAGATTCCATAAGAGAATAATTCACGATCTACCCTTCATTTCAACGAACTGCAAAGTGCCACCATTTTTTTATGACCGGGGTGTTAGGGCAAGCTTACACATATCTCAACTAATTTTTGGGATCCTAAAACTATCAATCAGATAAGAGTTCTAGTGGTAACCCTTATTAGCAACGAAAGATAAACTGAACTCAGTGGCTACGGTACCCCTATTAGCAATCGATGATGGACTCGAACTCAAGATCTCTCAAGCAATACACCCCAAAGTCTCTAAGAACCAGTCAGTCACCTAAAGGTAGTTTAAGTCTCACCATCTCCCTACCATGGTTGTTCCCCTGCCTCTCACTTCTCCACCTATAAATCTCCCCGACATAAAATTATGTATTCTTAGGTTTTTGTTGTTTAAAAATTCTCTCTCTCCTCTCTCTCCTCTCGCCACCAGCCCGTTGATCTTTAGGTTTGGAACAAAATACTCACTCTGTCTTGATTTGTTCGATTTCTCAAAGAAGAATCTGATGACTCTTTGTAACGGATGGTTAAAACAAAAAACTAGTTACATAAGATCGAAACTTTTCTTCTCATCCAAGTTTTGAACTTAATTTAATAAATTTATTGTTAACATAATAAACATAATCCTCAAAAAAGGCTAAGTTTAATCATATATATAATTAATTTTGTAATAATATGAAATATAATGCATAAAAAAAGGGCAATTAATAGTCTTCTAAAAACTTATAAGTCATAAAAATACAAAAACTTGATGATATCACTGTATCGAACTTTATTTTTTATAAATAAGATTTAGAATAATTAAATGTTTATTTATAATATTTTTAATGTATACCTTCTAGGCCAGGATTCGTTTGCATTTTTTTTTTTTTTTTTTTGGTATTTAGGGGTGTCTGGGTCAACTGCCCGCATCTTAATTAATCCCCCGGGACCCTAAAGTTAACGGTCAAGTAAGTTCTAGCGGTTACTCCTTATAGTAATCGTGAGAATTCGAATTCAAAACTTCTTGAATATACATCCAAGGTCTCAAACGAACTGTCAAGCTACCTAAATAGTTGTTTTGCATGAATAGTTGTGATGTGAGAGTACTTGTGGGATAAAATCATAAAGAATTACCAAGATTCTGCAATGAATGAATTTCACACCAAGAAAAAGTATGATTTTCTGTCGTGGAAATACTTGACCTCTTGTTGGACCTTTTCAATCTGCCATATATGCACCAGCTGTTGAAGAAGTTAAGCAGATGATTAGAACAGAAGGGTCTTTTAGCATCCGAAAATTCGAGCTTTTTAAAGTGGATTGGGATGCAATGCGAATATAATAGAAGATGGCAATAAAGAGAAAACTGAAAAACAAACAAGAGGCAGGTATGTTGCAATGAGCGGAAGAGTAGTGCAAAATCCATTTTTACCACTCACTTTGGGAAGGAGGTGATTGATGATTTGCTCGAGAGGTTTGCCAAGAAGATAAGAGGAGCACTTGGAGGTGTACAAAATGTGGAGTTGTCGACTACTTCGGCATTAATGCGTAACGCAGAGGCACTCGGGGTCCCGTGCTCGATCAGCGGGCGGGTGCCCCATCCCGGATGGTGGGGGTGCGGGGGCAGCGCCCGAGCCGTAGGCGGTTTTGCGTTTTTCATGTATAACCGCTGTAGGATTCTTTTAAGTTACTAATTCCTTATTGGGTTGGGCTTAGGAATATGAATCCTTGTAAAACTAGGTTTAGTCCCTTAAACCTAGATATAAACATACATTTCTCTTGTTAGGTAGGATAACAAATCATAGGACAATTATTCATTGTAAACGAGAGAGGTGAGGTATATTGCAATAATATTGACTCAGCTGGAGTAGCCCACATAAGGTGAACCAGGGTAATCGCGCATGTTATTTTCATTGTTTATTGTTTGATTTGTTTTACTGTTATATTTTGTTCTGTTGTGTCTCTATTCGTTCACAAAAGAGAACATGCACATATATATGCCGTTTCCTTACTAAGACCATGCAATGAAATACAAAATAATCTGAAAGAAACATAAGTCAATTAATGGAAATAGGTACTGATCATATTTAATCAAGAGTAAACGACTTTTTCCCACCAAGGTTTGCCTTAATGACTGCGCGTTCTACAATCGCTCGATTGTCATAATTGATGGGGTTGGTGGAAATAAAGGTGAGAGGTTTGATAAGTGATGATCATGAAAAAAAAATGATAGTGATTTGAGATAGTAAATATGTCAGAATTGGCAATGACTAGTCGGAATATAAATTTTAGATGAAAAAGTGGTATTTTAAAATTTTTTTTTTGAGAAAAATCATTAAGTCAAACCTTGGTGGGAAAAAGTCGTTTATTTAATCTATTCTATTCATTAAACACACAAGTAAAAAGATCCCTCTTTAAGTCTTTATAAATTATGACCCTAGAGCGATGACCCAAAGGTCAATATGACAACGGGATATCCAACAACTAGAAAAATTTCCACAAAGTCAGTCGAGAAAAAAGTAGCCTCACTCTCTAATAGATGAGGTGGATTGCACCATTCAACCATAACAACCGACACATATTGTGTAGTCACGCGCCATCTTACAGTTCAGTTCAAGAAGAACTCTAATTGTCATCTACCTTCTCATTTGCTCTTTCACTGCCACCACTGTAACTCAGAAAACATTTTTCCAAAAACCAAACCACCAAACAGAAAAAGATTGTTCTTCGCTACGAC